CATTTTATTTTTAGGTAATAAATCATCGTAAGTCAAGATGTCTTCAGCACCTGAGCCTCCAACCTTTGAAAAGGGACCACCCAAAGAGAAAGACTTTCGAAACCCAGGGCTCAGAGGGGTCCGCACGACAACCTTATTTCGAGCTGTGAATCCAGAGCTCTTCATTAAACCCGTAAGAAACACATGCAGGATAAGACTTTATGTTTAACTAGGCTACCAGACACAGAAAGTTCTTGTTTTCCTGTAACATCTAATTTTATCATGGAAATTTTATGTTGATTTTTAAGACTTCTCTGTGAATAAAAGCAGGTGGAGGGAAAATCTAAATGCTGTTTCACTAAATATACATATAAAACTAATTATTTTGAGGGCATTTGAGAGTCATAATGGAAATAATCATAATGGAAAATGGGTATACTTTAAATGATCAACTTTTCCAATTTCTCAAACTATTTAATGTTTTAGTAGTTGCATTAATTTGGAGGAAATTTGAATTGTTTGATGAGGTACTAAGTCAATAAGACCATCTATTGAAACAAAGTGAAAATCTAATTATTCCATAATTCTGTAATTCCAGTCTTTATTCATAATATTTTTACCTAAGGGATATTGCAAACATTTTGTGAAAAATTTCAAAATGTACATTTGTACACCATTGGGGAGTTAGCTAGTCATTGATATCCTTGTTGCAAATTGTTGAATAAATTTGATTTGATAAGTAATTTAAATAGTTATAAATCTTATTTTTCAATAAAGGTAAATAAAGTCAAATTATTATAAAATATATTTAAATATATTGAGTTTGACTAGAATTTTAATAGCAGTTGCTAGTGTAAGCTGTTTTAAAGTTAAATAGGTCAATATAACAATCAAATCATTAAATCGGGGTAGAATGTTTGAAAAACTTTGAGCTAATGTGTTCTTTCATTGCCAAACGCATTTCAAGAGCTGCAAATTTAAAGTGCTCTGAGCCTGTGGCCTTTCTTAGATGGCAATCCAAGTGAAAAAGTTTGACCTTTCTCCTTTTGATGTTTCAGATTTGAGATAGTAATGCGGCGCGTATGGTGACAGAGTCAGAAAATAGGAATTGAAACTTGTATCACAACTGTGTCCTCACACTGTCCTAAGAAAAGCCAATTTGTTGAGTGTGTTCACACCGAAAGGAGGGTCTGAGTCATAGTAATTGACAAGACAGAACGCTTCTGTGGAGTTGTGAACGTCTGTCTTTTATTTAAAACCTTTATTTTTTGTTAAATCAAAGCCAAATTGCGTTGCCTCTTAGGGTCTTGGATTTTCCAGCAGTAAGTCAAGGTTATTATAGGAGCATCGCGTCTGTTCCAATCATTAAATTTCTTGAGGTAACAAAGTAGTTTCCTGCGGAAGAGCATATGTGTTGTCATTGTAGCTGTGCCTAAGCCGTGGCTTGGAAGGCTTTTTGCCAGTTGTCCATGAACTCGGGTCAGAAGAATAGCATGTATACTTCATTCCTCACTTCCTAATAACATTAAATAATTTAAGGTTTTCAAACGAGGAAACTTGGGCCCAGAGAAGTTAAGCAACTTCTCCATGTCACACAGAGAACTGAAGACTGAGCACTGGGCCAATTTTTCCATGCCTCTCGTTTCCCCCGCCTCTCCCCCAACCGTCGCCTTCCTGAAGGTGGAGTTCTGAGATGTCCAGGCTGGAGACAGGAGAAGGACCTGCAGAGAAGGAGCAAGAGTCTATTATAATCTCTAGATTATCAGGAGTCGAGTTAATAGAACAGAGAACTGGGTAAATTATTATAATTGAAAATGTTACCATAGGAATGGTAGAGTGCTGATCAAGACTTGGTATGTCAGGAAGAAAGTACAACAGATATTTGGGTCTCCCTAAATTATTAGTCTTAATGAGGCTTTACAATTTTTTTTCTTTGACAGAACAAACCTGTAATGGCTTTCGGATTGATAACCCTTTCGCTTTGCGTGGCTTATATTGGTTATCTACATGCAACACAAGAGAATAAAAAGGAGCTCTATGAAGCTGTCGATAGTGAGGGGCACAGTTACATGAGGAGGAAAACGTCTAAATGGGATTAATAGTGCTGCTTATTGCAGATGGAACCTTATCAAGGCCTCTGAAATCTTCACATGAAAGCTTTCATGTGTACATGAGTACATAATATCATGTTTCTTGTTCGGGAATATGATAATGAGGAGAGAAAATAGCAGTTGCAACCAGACCACTATAGTAAATTTTGATCTTTCAAAACTGCGGCTGTTGTCTCATTCTTTTTTCACAGGAAGAGCATCTCGACATTTTTCTTTCATTGAATCCTCTTATAAAAGTCCCATGAGACTGGAAGTCATTTTTGTTAATTATTAAGTTCTATATAATAAAAGTACCCAGTGCTGTTAAATTTGCATGGTATTTTTTTGATATTTTAAGGTGAATTGTGCATTTGCAACTATTATGAGGGTTCAGTTTTGTTTTGCCATTTGCAAAGGCAACGTTCATTTTCTACCTAGCATAGAACCTATATTTGTGAAGGAAAAGAAATAATTGTAAATTATTGTAAAGCCTGTAGTCAACATTAAAAACAAAGTATTTCAGCTGTTTTTGGTCCAGAGTTTTATTTTAATTGAAAAGATACTCCCACTCAACTGCTCAAATAAAGATTAAATGAGAGAATAACCCAAAGTAATTAGAGTTTTTCTTTAAGAAAAAACAAGTATGTTATACTGAGGTATGATTTTTTTATTTGACTACAATTAAATGTTATGTATTTTAGTTTTTGTAAATTAATGTTACACTGATATTATAAACATAAGACCAAATGTTCTTAGAACTATTTAAAAACTAAAACTACTCAATGGATAAGAAAAGAGGGTCTCCTCACTGTCCTGGGTTTACCTTATGTAATTTAAATCTTTCTGACAAGGGTTCCAGACCTGTTTCATTTCTGAATATTTACCGCATTCTCCAGATCATTGTGAATGGGGCTCAGTAATAAACCCTCTCTCTGAAATTTCATTTATTATTACCAAGTAATAATAAACTGCACAGGCAAAGTTTATCATCATAATGTAAGTTTTTAATTTCCGGGACTTTATTGCGGTTTTGCAAGATACATGAAGAGGCAATTATGTCTGATTTGTAGATATTAAAGAGCTTAGTTAATTGAGTTATCTCCATGCAGTTAAATTAAATCTTTATTACTGAGCCCTAAATATTTCTTTGTATGCCTCTCTGCATAGTACACTTCATAGTTTAAAACGCACTTAGGTGGTACAAAGTGCTTTTTAATTTAAAGTATTTTTTGCTTTCGGTTTCCCTGTGTGCTTTGGTTGTTAAAGAACTAGAATTCTTCTGTTTTCAGCTTATGCATTAATTTCACACTGTCATCTTTTAGGTTCTCCTGTTCAACACAATAAGTTGATGTTTGGTGGGGGAGATACCGGGTGAACTGTCAGGGGATTCTCACAGCATTGAGGGGCAGCAGGAGCCGCACAGAGAGCCGCCGTGAGCCGTGTGGCATCCACGAAGGAGGCGAGGTAGCAGGAGACAGCGCGGCGCACAGCTGTGAAAAGTAGTGCAGGGAGGGGTCACGCTGAATTTGAGGAACAAGTCACCTCCCTGTGCTGCCTTTCCCGGGGTGGGCACCGGTTACAGCACCATCCTTGCGTGTGCAGTGTCGAAGGCTGGCTGGCTGTGTGCTGAGGTTTTCATTCATTCTCTTAAGGAAAAGCGCCGCTTTGCCAAAATCAGTGGTGTCTAAGGAGAGCGTGGGCAGGGCGGGCAAGATATTTACAGCCTCTTGGAGTCTGGCTTCAAGTGGTTGAAGGAAGGTCTTTCGCTGCAGGAATCTGGTTCAGAGTGGGCAAAACTCATAGCATGATAGGTTAGGTCTCAAAGCAAGTCTGGGTAAGTAAACTACTGATAAGTGGCAAGTAACGTTTTTGCCCAGGGGAGTTATCTGTTCTGATAGAAGAGCTGTTTGCCCAGAGGAGCAAGCTGTTAATTGATGAACTGGTTTTCAGGAATTTCCTGAAGCCCACAGTGAAGTTATTTATTGGTTTGTAGCCTCATCTTCCACAGGGTGACCAATCTCTCCCAGTTTGTCTGGCACCAAGGGGATTCTTGGGATGCAGGACTTTCCATTTTAAAACAAAGACAAATTAGTTAACTATGTGATTTTAAAAACCAGGCTTAGTAATTTCAAGTGCTGACTTAATGAAAGTAATTTTCCCTTTAAGATGCTGTGGTATTTCCCAGTTTTATTGCTTTGGCACCAAAACATCACATTTATAGATAAACTGAAAAAGAATTAAACTCCCACTTTTGCCGGCCTAAAAGAAATCAATCCTTTAAATAAACCATTTAAAAGGAAGTGTGGTAGGCTGAATAATGCTCCCCTTTCCCCACCCCGCCCCCAAAGATGTTCAGACCCTAATTCTGAGAACCTGTGAATATGTTACCTTATATGCGAAAGCGGCTTTGCAGACGTGGTTGTTAAGGATTGTGAGATGGAGAAATTATCCTTTATTATAATCACAAGGTCCTTATAAGAGGCAGGCAGAAGATCAGAGGAAGAAGCCACGTCACCATGCAAGCAGGCTGCGAAAAGGCAACATCGTGGAAGGCCATGAGCCAAGGAATGTGGGTGGCCTCTAGAAGTTGGAAAAGGCAAGGCAAAGGATTCTCCCCTGCAGCCTCCAGAAGGAACCAGCCCTGCTGACCCCTTAATTTTTGCCCCATAAGACTCATTTTGGACTTCTGACCTCCAGAACTGCAAGAGAATACGTTTGCATTGTTTTAAACCACTAAGTGTGTGGTAATTTGTTACAGCAGCAAGAGGAAGCTAATATAGAAGGTATCTGGGAAATGAAAGGCTGTACCATGCTCCCTTTAGTTATTACTTCTAGTTGCTTTTATGAGCAAAGCTTGTCTTACCTAGCAACAGTTGCTAAGTAAGTTAACAATTTAATGCTAGAGTCTGGGAGGGAGCAACTGCTTAACTCTCCCCCATCAGCGCCCACACTTATATGGCAGAGGCTTTCATACCGTTCTTGCCCATTAGCCACCTTCCTGCTACCTAATCATGGCGAATCGTTTAATTCTTACCAGCCTCTAGCATCCTCCTGAAGCCTTGAACCTCTTCCAGCTTTCTTAAACTTCTAGATTTTCTCAAAGCTACTTTTCCTTACCCTGAGTATTTTCACTGTACATAGTAAAAGACGTCTTAAGTTCAATTATGATCAGAAATTCGAATTACACAAGCTTTGTTTGCTGTGCCGTTTGTAATAAAATAATCCCACCAGCCCCTTTTGGGGAAACCTTCAAACGGATCCACGAATACAAGCCATTTAAGACACGTTTTTACACTCACAAAGATATACTGGGTAAGTGATTTTGCTGTTTTCCTTTTTCTACCGTTCTTCTTCCTGCTATATAGACTTTTATCAGCTCTCCTGATCAAAGTTGCTGTCCTACAGGGCTGTCTGTTGGGCTTGAGAAGAATAAGTGTTGAAGTCCAGCTTCCCCACTTAGACTTCGTGGGCCTGGACAGGATGCTGAGCCTCTCAGACCGTTTCCTTACATGTAAATAGGGATGTTAACACCTATCTTGCAGGTTTGTTATGAGGCTTTAATGAAGCACTTGTACCTATTATAAAGCCTGGCACATAATAGTAAATGGGAGTTCTTTTCTCCCTTGCCCATACTCGGGCACCTGCCACACACAGAAGAGGAACTATCTCTAAGTAACACCTTAATAAATGGGGGAAAGAAACCGTAACCTTTGTTAGTAGCTGGTGACATAAGAGTAGCTACATATAGATAGCATGAGAAGATTTATTATATATACTCTTCTAATAAGCAAATCAAATTGTAGCGACAGGTTTCCTTCCCTATCAGAGTTTTCAGTTTGACTTTGAGCCTTAGAAGTGTTTTCCTAAAGACTCTAAGTACTTCTCTGATCCTCTCTTCCTTTAACATAGTAAACTAGTGATTTAAGTTCACTCCTCATCTTTGAAAGTATAAGAAGTTGAGAAAGGAAGGTGTTTTGAAAAAACTAAAATGTAAGGCAAGATCAAATTGGAATCATCTTCTAAAAATATCAGTACCAAAACTGGTTTAACTTTTAGTAAATGTTTAGTATGATTTATTAATTATAATCTCTAAAATGATTTGACTTTTTATACGCAGCACAGTGGATATTCACTCTTAGATATGCTTTTATTGATTGATTCCTTATGCCTTCCAGGATATCTGAGTTCAAACACCAAGTGGATAAATTAAATCTAACTAGTTAGAAATTAATCTTTCATGTTCAATGACCTGTATTTGTCATTGACTATTTTAAGTCAAAAGAGTCAAAATTCTCTGTTCTTTGTAAGTAAATTCAAAAGCATGTTGAAATGTCTATATAAGTGCTAATGAGTACTGCGCAGGGCAGTGGCTCTCAACCCCAGCAGGGTACTACAGAACTTTAAGAAGTTTGTCTTTATTACAGACATCCAAAAACAAACTCATTGGATTTAATGCTAATCCAATACAGACCTACTGAATTAGAACCTCCAGAGTCAGACCTCAGTATGTGTGGTTCTTTATTCATTTGTCTTTTTACAAATTTGGATAGCTTTTTATTTGGGAATAGTTTAAGACTCACAAGTTTTAGCAATAGAACAGAGTTCCCACGTACCCCTCATGCAGCTTCTCTCATCAAAATCACATAACGCTAGTACATTGGCAAAACCATGACACAGGCTTTGGAACAATACTATTCACTCAGGTACAGACCTATATGCACTTTTTTTCTTGGTGTATAGTTTTATGAGCTTTCTCACGTGTAGATTCATGTAACCACCACCACAATCTGGACATAGAACTCTTCCATCACCACAAGGCAACTCCCTCTTGTTATCCCTTAACACCCCCTCTCCCCAACCCCTGGCACCCACTAATCTGTTCTCCATCACTCTAACTCCATCCCTTTGAGAATGTTGCATAAATGAATCATACAGTATGTAACCCTTTGAAATTGGCTTTTTTTCACTTAGCATAATACCATTGAGAGCCATCCAAGTTGTTCTTTGTGTTAATAGTTTGTTCATTTTTCAGTACGGGCATTTGTTTTTTCTTAAAGATTGGCACCTGAGCTAACCATCTGTTGCCAATCTTCCTTTTTTTCTTTTTCTCCCCAAAGCCCCCCAGTACATAGTTGTATATTCTAGTTGTAGGTCCTTCTGGTTATGTCATGTGGGACGCCACCTCAGCATGGCCTGGTGAACAGTGCCGTGTCTGCGCCCAGGATCCAAACCGGTGAAATCCTGGACCACCAAAAAGGAGTGTGTGAACTTAACCACTCGGCCATGGGGCCGGCCCCAGTATGGGCATTTAAAAAAAATTATGCAAGAATCCTGTTGTACAATCAGGGTTGGGAACAAGTAATATAAAGTAATGGGATTTAAGCATAAAAAAGAGTAATAGCAGTCCACACTTGTATCACATTTTTATGAAGTTCAACATGTTGATGGTCCATGCTTAGTCACATGTCTTTCTAGAGGATCTTTCATGATTCTATCTATACAACATTGAGCCTATGGAGCATATGTCCATCTCTGCCATGGTATTCACTGCCCTATGTTTTTAGACTCACTGATAATCTAGTGGCAAAGACTTTAATCAATGCCACCAAGCATGTATTTTCAGTTGCAGGTGACAGAAACACAACTCAAACCAGACTACGCAAAAAAGGGAATTTCTTGACCCTTTTAACAGAGAAACCCATGGGGAATCTGGCATCAGGGCTTTCAATCTGTCCATACTTGCTCTCTTAGTGAGTCGGCCTAATTGTTTACTGCTGCAGCCAGGCTTACACCATCAGCTGGGAAAGGAGGAGAAGCAGTTCCAAACAGCTCTAAGCACCTACTACCTCCAGCTTAGAAACATCAGAGGAAAAAGAGCTATGTTCTCCTTACATCCTTATATAAAACCCTAGGGAAGAGGCTGGATGGCCAGGCTTGAGTATGTGCCTGGAGAATGGAGATGATGTGATGGGCCAAACCGGTTGACTGCTGTGATTGGCAGTCCCACCAGAACAACCTGAAGTGAGAGAGGGACATTCTTGAGAGAAATGGGTCTTGATACCAGAGGGAGAGAAGAGGTGTTGTGCAGACAAACACGTATGTCCACAATGTCTTATCTGTGCTTATTGCCCAGGTAGGCACCGTGAGACACACACTGCGGTATAAGATGTGCTTTGTAATTTGAGGAAGTTGATCGTCCAAACATAAACACATGAAAAATTAATAATTCAACAAATCTAAGGTGTGAGAAGTGAATGGAGTAAATACTATAAGAGTTTGGATTGGAGAGAAAGATCACTGTGTGATTTCAGCACTCAAAGGGCTCATCACCCCCATACAAGTCATGAGCCACCTCTGACAACCCACTCTCGGAAGAGAAGATGGAGAAAACCCTGTGCCCAGCTCAACGAGCTCAGGGCTTGGCTCCAGGGTCTGCTCTGTCCCTAACTATTGATACTGTGTGGTCATCTAACCTCTTTAGGCCTTTTTGTCCGAGTAGGGAGGGTATTATTATGGGAATATTTGGAAGTTAAATGAGATCATTGACAGAGAAGTCGTCAACTACTACCCCTTACCTCACTCCACAGCTAAAGCAGCTAATGCCGTGAAGACCCACACACTAAAGACAGGCTTGTAGCGTACTAAGGAAAGCATTCTGCCCCCACTTTCCTGATGGAGTTACCACCAGCATCCAGGTGGGAGCAGGGAGAGAGTAGCGGTATAATGTGCTACTGTCTTGAATACGCACTCACCCTTCTACTTTCGGAATGTGCTCCTTTCTGCCGCTTTACTTCCCCAATTGCCTACTGTGTGGACTGAGTGCGATGAAGGGAACAGCTGACTCTACCCAGGCCTGAGTTCCCTCCTAATCAATTAGGGAAAAACTTAGCCCTTTTGTTGGTATCTTTAAAGAAAAGATTGATGTCTCCTAAAAGGATATTGCTCTTAAATAATTCTAATGAATAACTAGATAATAGTAGAAAGGAAAACCAAGAAACAGTCTGTGGATATTTGCAATTGTTTCTCTTCAAATATACAGATATTGGGGCAGATATTTTGAAGAAAGAAAAAGAATTTCAAGAAGCTCTACTCGAAGAACTTATTGCAAAAGCAGAAGCTGATATATGGGCTCAGGTAAAAGAAGTTGGAAGTCAACCTAAATGCATCTCTACAATTCTTTCACTTTTTGGATTTGTCTGAAACAATGTATTCAGGCAGAACTGACTCTGAATCCTGGCTGTCTGTGAGACCTTGGGCACGTTCTTCCACTCTAGAGTCTTGGCTTCTTCAAACGTGAAAGAGAAACAATAATACTCATTCTATAGGATTGTTGAGAGAGTTCAATGAAATAATGTGCCCAGCACACAGTAGGTGCTTAGTAAGATGCAGACATCATTAGGAGTTTCTTTCCTTCTAAATTGCCCCTATATATGGATGACTCCTACTCCCCTTATTCTCATTGAATTAAAAAAAGACATCCCTGTTGACAAGTGTTTATTATAGCTTAATGTTTAGTATGTAGACCATGCATTTGTGCATTTTATAATACCTCTAAGTGCTTATTTTTTCCAATTGCTTCTTCATGGATGACTCTCCTTGTTCCACATCTCTCCAAAGTCTGTGATCCCTTGTCCATATGACTGTTGAGGGTCATGGGGCACTTTGAGTGTGTTGGGGCTCACAGTCAGGTCCCAGACACTTAGCTGAAGCAAAATCTCAATCCTCCAGCCCCCACTTCTTCCAGTTATAGATAGTAATGGATAGAATGACATAAATGACTTCCTAAAGAGACTTAAAGCTCCTTGGCAGCAGGACAAACCATTTTTTGGTTTCTTTATAAAATAGACATCATAGTAAATAGTGTTGGAATTGTCCCATATTAGTTGCACCAGCAACAGCTTGGTCTGAAAGTATTTTGAAAGTATAAAATGCTCCAGTGCAAAAAATTTTTGTAGTCATCTATCTTTATCAATAATAACAAATTCAAATAGATTGTGAACCATTGATATATACCCTAATACAAGGGAATGCTTTTATGAATAATCTACAATTTCAGTATAAGTATACCTAATGTTCTGGACATTCTTTTCAAACAAAGTAATAAACCCTCTTTCTGAAGATCTGATGCATGGGATCTGGGATGGTACACAGCCTCCCTTCTCAGCTCTTTCTAGCTTTGTGCATCTTTCCACTTCTCTATGTTTTCTGCGATGGCATACATTACTTTGATAGTCAATCAAGCAAGAAATAAAGTGCCCAAAAAAGGCAAGCCAGCAGCCCATAGTAAAATTCTCTTTAGCAAGTCCTGATATAGCGATACTAGCCAAAGGTTCGGATGTTTTCGGGCATTTCTGGCTGAGCCAGTCAGTTTGTGACGGGAGGTTTGAGATGGGAATCAAGCAAATAATTAGGGGCCCCTTGGTGGTCGCTCATTTTCAGTAAACAAGGAAACCTGATATATTAATAAATAAATGGACTCTTTCTTTCAAAGGCTAACGAACGTCAAAAACAAGCAGTGGAGAAAGCCCTTGAAGAAGCAAATGACAGACACAAAATTAAAATTCAGAATCTGGAAGAGGAACATCAAAAAAGTTTACAGGTTTTTATAGTGGCTTGTTTGTTGTCTTTTTAAAAGTACTTAAGTTACTAAAAAGCTCTAGCAAGGGAATAAGAGAAAAAACAATAATATGTAGAATCTAGATGGGTGTTTCATGGAGGTTGGTTGGGAGGCCCACGATTTTCACAGAAGAGATGCTGAACTCTGTGATGGCAGTGCAGAGTGGGTGCAGGGGAACCCCACAGCCTTCAACGTAATGAACCCAAACCTTTATGGGGTTTCAAGGCCTGAGGGAGCCTGTCTGGCCCCTGCCTGTCTGACTCACTGTATCTCTTATCTCTAGCTTTCTTTCCTCCTCCCACTGCCCTTCTTTGGGTCCTCAAACCTGAACACACCACCCTCCTTCCCACCTCGGGGTCTTCGCCAGCATGTTCTTCCCACAATTCATCAGATTTAGCTCAAACGTTACTGCTTAATGGAAGCTTTACCTGCCCATTCAGCCTTGCCACCCGTACACTGTCCTTGACACCCCGTCCTCATTCACAGCAGTCATCAGTCATGGCCGTTGTAATTAAACAGATTGATTGCTTGTTGAATGTCTGATCTGACATGACCGCAGCCTCGTCCTCGTCGTTACCGCCCTAGTGCCCCGCCCGCTGCCTTGACTTCGTCAGTGCTCAGTTGGTGAATGGAAGTAGGCTGTTCTGTTCCTTCTCCTGGGCTCTCTGGTTGCATCCTTTCCCCCAAATTTGCATTTACCACAGTGCCAAGAGGGATTCCGGAGCTGTTTCTCAAATATGTCCTGTAGGACCAGAGGTCATAAAATGAAGGCAACTCTTTCTAACCTGTTAACTTGTTCAAGCACATTTCTAGGTAATTAGCAAACCTTCCAGGCAGAAGCCCTGGGAGTCATTATCTAGCGCAGTACCTCGGTTACAGCATCTGCTCAAAGGAAAATGATACAGAACTATTGTACATGTTGGCCACGGGAGGGACAGGACGGTAAGCAGCGCAGATGTGAAGATTCATGGGCAGAGGCTGGAGGGAAAGTGGCAGAAGTCTGGCCTAACTTAATAAGAACATAACTCACAAAAATTTAGGGACCACAGGCCCATTTTTTTCGTTGTTTCAGCAATGAGCACCTACCATATATCAGATCCATACGAGGTGAGATCAAATGGACTGCCCTTGTCCTCAGAAGACCGGCTGGCAGGAAAGGGAGCTCTGCCCCGGGGCTCCTAAAGGGCAGTGGGACCCTCCCTGCTTGGCCCCGGCGGCCATGGTCCGTGAGGGGTTGGCTGCAGGGGTCCACTGCCCTTCGCCTATTTCAGTTCAGAACACGAGGAGTGTATACAGCACGTCTAGACAGTCCTCTGCTCAGCTGGCATGTACCAGTATGGCCATAGTGCTTCTTAAAGTATTGCAATGCTTCTCTATCAGTTGACAAATAGCCGCTCCCCAAGCCCCCTAATGCCTTGGTCACCCTGGTCACTGCCCCTAGACCCCTGAACCTCCCCCAATGCAGCAATTTAAAGGGACAACCTTTTAAATCAGTAGGGGCTCTAGGACCCTGCCCCAGTGAGGCAGCAAAAGGATACATATTGTGAATATCACTTCTGGCATTAGGTTATGAAGATACAAGGATAACTTATATGTGATGCCTGTTTCAAGGAGCCTCCATCCTAGTCTTCCCTTAAGTAATTTGATTGTATCCCATATAGTCTTTGGTGGTGTTGGTGCACTTATAGTGCTAAAATAGAAGAAGTCCTAAGAAAATTTAAAGGGGAAAAGTCTGAGGAAGGGTGACCTTCCTACAATATTTGTCTAGAGTTTGGGAATTTACATGTATGCCACAGTCTCAGGGGCGTTTTTCATATGAAGGAGTGATTTGTCTAAGAGGGGTGCGTAGGGTTGTTATTTCAATTGCAGGGTACCCAGATGTGGACGTTAGTACTGCTTCTCAGGGCATGTCTATGAACCACCTGCCTTAGAATCTACTCACTTGGAAGCTTAACATGCAGATTCCTGGGCCCCACCTGACCTGCAGAGTCACTGGCAATGTTTTTAACCAGCAGCCCGTGTGATTCTCACACACATTAAGTTTGAGAAAACTAAGTTCTTCTAGAATCAAATATTAAATTCTGATATGTAAAGACCACCAGGTATTGCTCTTATACGATGTTAGGAATTTGGGATAAGTCTCAGATGCTTGCTGATAAATAAAATTTCAAGATCTTATCCAGTGGACAGATAGTATTTTGAAAAGGTGTTTATGTTATCTTATTCAAATACAATAATGTTAAAAAGTAAATGATAAGATAGAAGCTAAGAGAAAATAACAAAAGGAAAATCAGACTAGAGAATATAATGAAGTTAGGGATGAATTTAAAACTTAAAAATGTATGTAAGCCATGAGGTCCTGTGCAATTGGGCCTTGAGCTTTCTGGCTGTCAATGCAAAGAGGAAAATGCCATGAATCACAATGTCCGCAGGTAAAAACAAATCAGGTACTCAGAGAGGCCCAGATATGCCCACACGTGGTACCTAAGGAAAACTTCTGCTGAGGGAGACATTGCATAATAAATGTCTATCAAACATCTGTAAACATGATGGATTGCTTGAGGTTGTTTCTTGTCTCAAAATATGGGCTGATTCACTCAAAACACATTTCAGTAAAAGTAATTTAATGGAAGACTTTCCATTGAGCAAGAACACTGCCAAATAATAGGTCATTGAATTATTTTTGTAGCTTTAAACGTGTATTCTACATACTATGTGAGGCATGAAAATGATTTGGATTTTACTAAGTCATTACATGAAAGAGGGACGGGTTTAGTTCTCTGAGTCCTAGTTCAGAACCTAGCCAAAATAAAGGGATGGGTGTGATTTTAAATGCTACGATTCAAATAGAAATGTATTAGGATACTACTTCATCTGTCTAAAGCACAACCACTCCATAATCTCAACTGCTGAGAATATACTTGAAAACCCAGACATAATTTAAAATATCCCCTAAGAAGTTAAAGGCCTCTCACTATAAGACAAAAACTCGGGCTTATTACCCAGAGCAGAACCTCTCTATTCCCCACTAGAATGTTATTTACACTTACTTGACAACCTGAACCCAACAGACATGGTTGATTGACTTCAGAAATCCAAAATAGATTAAATGCCAGAAACAAGAAATGACAAAAAGGAACTCACCAGCAGCAGTTAGAACGGAGTCCTTGGTCCAACAGCATGTGAAGACTGAGGAGAATTACAAAAATCAGATGTCGAATCTCAAAAAGCAAAGCAGTGGGGTCATTTATAACAGAGACAAATAGCCCTATGAACTCGAGCAATTGTTAAGTGCAATATAAAGTATTTAGCCCAATACAGTCATTCATCTTTATCTATGAGCCTGGATCATCAAGAAACATTAAAATGTGTTCATTATGCTCTTCCTATAAAGTAAGGTAAATGTTAAAGACATTTAGAAAGATTTCCATTCAAAATGTTTTATTATCAAAAAGTTTTTGTGCTTTGGGGCTGGCCCGGTGGCATAGTGGTTCAGTTCGCGTGTTCTGCTTCGGCAGCCCAGGGTTTGCAGGTTCCGATCCCAGGCACGGACCTACACACCAGTCATTAAGCCATGCTGTGGCTGTGCCCCACATACAAAATAGAGAAAGATTGGCACAGATGTTAGCCCAGGGCCAATCTTCCTCACACACACACAAAAAACGTTTTAGTGCTTTAAGAAACAAAGCCTTCTGCAGTATGGAAAACCCAGCTAACATTTTAAGCAGCCAATGTTTTCCTAAAAATAATTTTCTAACTACATGAACTGAGGTCACTCTGGAGAGATCCTTCAAGTTGATTTCTGTTGTCTTTTTCATTTTTTTATTTTTCATCCTTGGAGTAGCTGAAGTGAGAAAGTGAAAACTTTCCTTCTCTTGAAAAAGCTGAAGTCTGTCTAACAAATATTTTAACTGTTGAAATACTTTTATACAAAACTAGAGCAGTTTCAGTTTCCCTTGAAACTTAGAGTTCCCTTGACTTTCAGCTTCAGCTGTAGGATTTTGTCTGCATACACTGTCGGGGCCCCCACAGAAAGGGTAGTGAAGTGGGGTGGGCAACCTCAGCCAGGAGAACTCTTACTGGTTTCATTTCTTTCTACTTTGGGTAAAATTTCATTTGAAGAATGGATACTGAAGCTAGGAAGGAAGGAAGGAGGGAGGGAGGAAGAGGAGGAGGAAAGAAGGAAAGGAGGTGGGAGGCAGGAGGGAAGGAGGAAGGCAGGAACCTCACTGTGCTATCTTATAAGACTGTACAGGGTTTCTGGAATGAAAGTAAATTGATGAATCTCTTGAAAGACCCTAGCATCACAGCCAGCAGTGAAGCGAGGAACTGGCATCGAGAATCTTGGTTTCTATTCCTGGTTCTTCCACTGACCCACTATGTGAAATAACTTAATTTCTGTATGTTCTCTTGTCATCCCTAAAATAGAGATAAAAATTTACCTTTAAATGAAAGCTTTGAAACTGCTAGACAGAATTAATTGCTCCTCCTCTCTTGCATATATGTCTATTAAAAAACTTTTTGCACAATTTGGTTGTTGGTCTCCACTTGACAGTCAGTCTGCAAGGACAGGAATTCCAGCCACGAGAATGTGTTTGTAGCAACAGCCTAGCACAGTACTGGCACATGGTGGAGTAGTAGGCACTTTCAAAGTGGTGACATTTTGTGAGTTTCTTTGCGAGTTCATTTTCTCGAAGCCTTGGTTTGACTCGTGCCTCCTCTCTTTACTTGGCCAAAGGCGTTCACAGGTCCTTCTACCCTGGAGCAATGGAACGCTTGTTCCTGTCCCCTCTGTGAATGAGAAAGAGGCTCTCAACACTAATGAGCTGGAATGCCTGAATGACAGTGGGGCCTGGCAGGCAGGTTCCGGTGCCCACAGTAAAGTATGACTGTTGCTGCCTGAGCCTCAGGCTCCCTCCATTCAGGAGGCACAGTCATTACTTCTGCCATCTTCCAGGACTGATTTCCTAAAAGAGAATCATATTGTGTATTTCTAATCATGGATAAAGATAATATGACATAATAGAATATTTGGGCAATCAAGAAAAAAAAAGATCTGTAACCCAATTATTTTCTTTTTTGCATATGCCCTTCCAATATTATCTGTAGACATACTTATGCTACATAGTTTGTACATTTACGGTTTTACTTAGCATCATCATAAATGAAAGTTTTCCGTGTTGTACACATTCTTCTTTTAAATCATCAGGGTTAACAGGTGTACATTCCATTGGGTAGATTAATTCTGATTTGAATAACCTCTTAGTGTGCATTTTTAAACATCAAAGCTGTGACGTCTAAATCTAGTTTTCCTGTTGCTTAAGGAAATGGCAGCCAAAACCAAGATAGAGATGTATCAACACATGGAAGATGAACTGACCAGAGAACACTTGGCTGCGGAACAACGCATGGTCCACAGAATCCAAAGGATTATGATGGAATGCCACAGGGAGAAGATCGCGGCTGTGGAGAAAGCCAGGGCTGAAGAGAGACAGAAGACCCGCGAAGCAGTGCAGGACCAGAGAAGGTATTCCAGGGAACACACTGGAACCATGTATAATGTATTGTAGAATGTGTGTATGTATGTATGTGTGTGTGTGTGTGTGTTATAAAGGAAAATAATAACATGAATACTCAAGGACCTACCACCCACCCAAAGGGATTGGAAATTGCAAATACCTCTGAAGCTCCCATGTGCTCTTCCTTAATCACATTTCCTTCCTCTCCACCTCTCAGGAGATAACTACTGTCCGATATACTGTGTTTTTCATTCTGTATCTCCAGTTTTAAGAGAGTGAGGAGAAGAATCAACAAATATTTTTCCACAAACACAGAAAATTCAGTCCTCACATTTTCTAGCCTGTATCATACACCATTGTGAATGTGTTACTTTTGGTCTTTTCTTATTACACAAGTAATAGATGCTGTACGTAATGATGACATTATGGAAATATGCAGAGCAAAAATTGCTAAGTCTTAACTCGCTGCTCCCAATTCCCTCCTTTCTCCCAGAGACAATCATTTTAAAATGGGGTCTGTATCCTTCCATGACCTTTTGATGTATTTACAGCCTTATGTTTGTGCATAATCACAAATAATTTTTTACGTGAATCATATGTATATATGAACAATACCAAGCTAACCACTTTTATATATGTGGTGAACATTTGATGGAACTGGCCAGTTTTTTTTTTTATTAAGATTATGATAGTTACAACCTTGTGAAATTTCAGTTGTACGTTATTGTCAGTCATGTTGTGGGTACACCACTTCACCCTTAGTGCCCTCCCCCCACCCCCCTTTCCCCTGGTAATCACCGATCAGTTCTCTTTGTCTATATGTTAACTTCCACCTATGAGTGAAGTCATGCAGAGTTCGTCTTTCTCTGTCTGGCTTATTTCGCTCAACATAATACCCTCAAGGTCCATCCATGTTGTTGTGAATGTGACAATTTTGTCCTTTATTATGGCTGAGTAGTATTCCATTGTGTATATATACACCATATCTTCTTTATCCAATCATCAGTTGCTGGGCACTTAGGTTGGTTCCATGACTTGGCTATTGTAAATAATGCTGCGATGAACATAGGGGTGCATGGGACTCTTGGAATTGCTGATTTCAGGTTCTTAGGATAGATACCCAGTAGTGGGATGGCTGGGTCATAAGATATTTCTGGAACTGGCCAGTTTTAACAGGACAGCAGTCAGAGAAAACCACTGTTTCCAGTTGCTAAGTGACCTGCCCAAGATCACGTAGCTGTAGCAGCACAACCAAGACTGAAACCTCTGGGTTTGGCCTCCTGGTCTAGGACTTGTCTCTTTTGCTTTGCTGCTTGACTTAACAAACAAATCTATTTGTGTATAATTAATGGGTAAAGTCTTCCTCATTGGAATTGTTTAGAATGGGGCCAAAGGTAAAATCCTGTAGGATGTGCAGATAAATAAGAATGAGGGCTGCAGCTGAGGCTGTGTCAGTGTGCCTCCCTTCTTGCGTAGGCTGTAAATCATTGTTGAGGTAGAAGAGGAAGGTGACGGAGGATTTCAGGAGAAAGTTAGAGAAGGCGGTGACTCCTGAATGAGTTGTGGTCCAAAGCAGCGGAAGGTGGTACCCTCTCTCCTCTCTGCTCCCCACCCTCCATCTGCAGGAGCTCTGCCCACCCTGTAGGAGCCTCTGGATCCAGCCACACACCAGCAGTCTCCTGCTCCCTCCCTCACTCTGCTGCTTTCACCCCACTCCAGCCCTTTTCCCTGTGAGATTTGAATGGAAGGTTCTCAATGGCCACCTTTTATTGAGTCAGTTGACTAAGATTAGGGAACTGCCAGGCATCTTGTTGAAATGTATCTAGCTAGAATATTCATCATTTTGTTCATTGATGTGTCCCAATTGCCTGGAGGAGAGCCTGGCACATGGTAGACATCCTTTAAATGTTTATTAAACAAAGGCTCAAATTTGTTCTATCAGCTGAACTCACTCTGCAGCATGCTAGATCTTATTTCTAGACAGTGCTAGATTCCAGTGTTCCTTAGAGCATTTGCAGAAACTAATATATGGAGAAAGACCACTGTTTAGAATCCTACTGTAGATCTTTTATTTGACTATAAACTTTCACTCAAGACTTCAGGGATTCAGAACACGTAAATATTATGACAAATTTGTTAAGTGCACAGAAAACTCTTTTGTGGATTGAGGTGGTTAGATTCAAAACAGATTATCTAGGAGACACTGTACTCTTTCTCTTAAAGTTAAAAAAAAAAAGAAAGAAAGAAAGAAACATCTCTGCTTCGAAGGGATCTAAGTGTTTTCCAGCCCAAGGCAAAGGTATGAATGAATGACTGCTCAGGAATTTTTGTGGTCATGGCTATAATTCCTGATGACAGCTACCCTTTATTCAACACCCAGCACATGCGAGGCCTTTGTGTTCTTCTCACTGAATCCTCACATTCCTTCCTGGGGCGTTCTGTCGTTCTCATCCTCCGTATCTTCAGATGAAGACGCTGAGTCTTAACGAGAGACTAAGCAACCTGCCAAAGGTCATGTGGAGAGAAGGTGACAGGGCCTGATGGGATGTATGATGCCAAAGCACATGACCTTCTGTTACGCTCCCCTGCTCACTTCACCAGAGCTTATCAAGCACCTTCTGTGGATGTGGTCCTCACCTCCATCACAAAGAAATAAAGGTCTTTCCTCAGCATTATGTGAAGTAACTAAAGTGTGGCTGCCCCATATAAGCAACGCTAGATGGACTTGTACAAAGAACTCGTAGGTGCTAGGAGAGTTCAAAGTTCTGGGAAGATCAAACAAAAAGTGTGTGGGTTATGTGGGCTGTGTGGTGAGGTCACTTTCTTGGAGGAAGTTAGTCCTGGTTTGGGCCTTAGAGAGAAGGGAGAAGGTCCCACTTGTGAAAGATTGCGAAAAAGTAGGAACAGCACGAGCAAACACGTGGAGGGGAAGGTGGGAGGTGTAATGAGGCAGAGCCACGGGGAGGTTGAGAGTGTTAATACCCCTGAGATACAAAGGTGCCGAAAAGTTTGGCCTCTGGAGATGTTCCCCACAGCCACTCTAACTCCTGCAGCCCCAGCGTGGGGGGTCACTGATCCTACTGCCAGACCAGGGGGCAGTAGGTTCCTAGTATCTCAGGGAGAAAATCAGAATGTATTTTCCTCATAAACACAGTGGTTATAACTGATCAAAATAGTGCTAACAGTCCTGGAGTTCACGTGAAAATGGATTAATAGCTTATCGCTGGCTCAGCAGGCAAACGATCTGCCAGTTCAACGTTGCTCTAAATACTCGATGAACAAATGAATTTTAGGAATAGATCCCTTCATAATTTAGGAATTGCCCGTGGATAAATGAAGTGTTGGTTCTTACTGTGATTTTTAGGATTTTTATTGATGGACATACAAAAGAGGTTGAAAAGTGTGCTCTTAGCAACCAACATGTGTAAGGAAAATGAGAAGTTCACTGAATAGGTAGAAAGCAAGGAACTGCCATTCATTTTTTTCTTTAAAATTGTGAGCAATTTATCTTGTACCATTTCAAAGGCCTCCCAAAAAGAATGAGAAAGAGAGCTAACAGAGGCCCCACAGGGAGCAAAGGACTAATCTTTTTCTAGATAGTTTTTCATGCTTTATTTTTTCCCAAGAGCCTAGTGAGGTTGGATTATTACATATTAGATTATATTTTTATTTACTAATCTATTTTTATTCTCTGAGAGTCCATTTTATAAAATAGCAGACTGAGTCTTATAGGTGTATATAGACACACTAAAATTATCCTGAAAATGGTTCAGTTTCTGGCCAGCACTTCCCATAAATATGGTGTGTATTTCAAAATTCCAAGATTATAACCTCATAAAATGAGAGCCGGCAGGTGGACTTAACCATCTACAGAAAGAAGCGTAGATTTCACATTCCCTTTGGAATTTCTCTTCACGTGGGAAGGGGCCCTGGAGGTCACCGAGTGACCCTACCGTCCCTTCTTCGGGATGCCTGCCAGGGGTTGCTGGGCCTCCTCCTGAGGGCACCTGTGACGCGAATTTTCCTCCTGGTTGAGGTGGGTGCTTCAGATGCTGAACATGTCTGCCTGGCGTGTGCTTCTTCCTGGGGGCCCGAGGTACACCAGACCTCACCTCACATCCGCCCCTGGCTTCTGGCTCAGCCTCTCCCCCTGCACAGTCATCCTTCAAAAGTTTGAGGAGACGTTGTCCCAGCTTTAGTCTGGAGAAGGGAAGGAAAAACCAAAAAGTACTAGTAAACCAGTTCCTTCAGTCCTTCCTCGTGTGATATGATTAATCGCTAGGCCCTCTTTTGGGGAAAAAGCAGTGTGGATAATTTGTAGAAATCAAAAGATATTTTAGATAAAACACAAGAATTGACCATTTTCTTATGGTGAATATTTTGCTTATGCTAAGAATCCTTTTCAAGCAAGCATTCTTTTAGGCTTTTTTAAGGCTTTAATTTGCTACTTTAAAATTGGGCGTTATTTGGCATAAAAATAGCATACTGGAGAGAACTATGTCTACGTTGCCCATTTACTATTCACACATTCATTGGTTGCCTGTTTTATGTCCACTGGGCACCGTGCAAGGCAGAGGAGGTACAAAGGGTGATGGGCACTCCAGGCTGTCCGCCAGCCCCCGCACCCCTCCCCCCCCCAGCCCTGTACCCACCTTCCTCTGGGCTGCAATTCCTCAACTTCAAGGACATCATCAGCATAAAGGTCAGAGACACTCTGACCTTAAACCGAAAGGAGTCAATCCCAAAGGGTCAACAATTCAGGCTCTAAGGCAGGCTGGGAGAAGTTGGAAAGAACATTCTAAAAAATACCAGATCCTGTTAGTGAGAAGAGATTTTGATAGCAAGGAGTTTAAAGGGGGCCATCGTGGAGGGCGAGAGCTGCCGTCATCCAAGATGTGCTTTCTTCAAGCAGTTTTACCTGCGATCAGCTCTGGTGGAGACTTCTGTGGGCCCCATAGACGACCGCCTCCTCTGTGTGGGCCAGGAGAAAGCCCGGCCACGCCACAGGGAGCTCCCGCCTGCTCGTGACAGGGCTGAGGTTCTGGAGGAGGAAAGCAACTTCTTCTTTGGGGATTTGGAGCTTGCTCACGGACGCTTCTTCCAGTTCCTTCTGATCTAAGCCCCAGGGGCCCTGGCCATCACTTTCACAATCTCACCAACACCCTGAAGATTTTATAAAACATCAGACTACATCCTAAGGGTGTGCATAGGGTAGATGCTCACTCCACCTCTGTCCATGGCATCACTTCTATTAATGGCCCCTCCATTCTCCTCTGACTCGCGCTGAGAATCAGGAAATTGGTTTTGAGTCGTCTTTTTTTCTGCATCCCCTGTATCCTAGCAGTCACAAATTCTGCCACTTATGACTTTGTAATATTTCTTGGATTTATCCCTTTCTCTCCTTCTTCCTCCCCCTTTCTCATCATTCTCTTTCATCATAGTTCAGCCCCTAATCATGGCACACCCAGAATATTACAAAATAGTACGAATTGGTCTCTATTACCAGAATAACAATTCTAAATGTTATTTTCATTTTGTTGCCCTCCTGATAAAAAATTTCTAGTGACCTCTGAAACTACTGAAGCAGCTAATGCTGAAGGGCAGGAACTCTCCCACCAGCTCAATTGTGTGACATTGAACAATAACTAGATCTCTGTAGGACTCAACTTTTCTTACCTGTTACATGGGAATAATAAGAGGTAATAAATAAAAATAGTACCAGACTCAGTGGGTTATTGTGAAAATTAAATGAAGTATAATGCATGTAAAATGCTCAGCACAGTCCTGGGGGACACAGGAAGTACTCAATAAATGTCACCCCTTGTTATCAATAATGGCTATAGCCTAGTTGGTGGGAAAAGGAAGGAGAGAAATAGCAGTGCAGCTAGAGAGGCTAAGGGCAATGTTTACCTCAAGACTGGGGAAGTCTGTCAGGTTTGAAAGTCAAGCTGGAAAAATCAGAGGCAATGAGAGAATTGCATCTTGGAGGATAGAATTTAGAAGATAGGGCAGGTGGAAAGTCTTGGAAAGACTGTATTAGACTAGGAGGCAGAGGGAGGGATTTTTATTAACAACCATAAATATGTGAATCCGACATTTGTAGGTTTCTTTTATTCTCAGATCTTTAGAAGTTCTGCTCAAACTGGGTTAATCAAAGACATTCGCTGGAAATGGGTCACGGCAGCTGAGAGCCTTGGTGCTGGACTCAGACTGCCTGGGTATGGTGCTTGTTTTGCCAGTTTTACTAATGAAGGGAAATTGGGCAAGTTATTTGACCTCTCTGAGCCTTGGTTTTCTCATCAGTAAAACAGCCATAATAATAGAACCACGTCATAGAATTGTTTTGAGGAATCATTGAGTTAATATATGCACAAGACGCCTGGCGCATGGGAAGAACTTAATTCGGTTGGCTGCTATAACTTATATATAATTATATTAATTATATTCAGAGATCTACAAACTCATTCAGCAGTGGTTCTCAAAGTGTGGTCCTGCACTCCTCAGGGCCCCAAGACCCTTTCAGGGGCTCCACGAGGTCAAAGCTGTTTTCTTAATGATACTGAGATGTTCTTGCCTTTTCACTCCCCTTATTATCTCATGAGTAGAGAGTGGTGTTTTCCAGGGGTTATGGTGTTTAAAATCACAACAGATGGAAATAATAGGAAAATCCAGCTTTTTTTCTATTAACCCAGTGAAAAGTTTAGCAAAAAATGTAAAATTATGCCATTTTCCTCACCAACAGTTTTTGTGATTTGGAAAATATGTTTTTTATAAATGTAAGTTATATTAACATTTAGTGGATTTATTGATACTTTACTTGAATTTATAAATATTTTTAAAATGTCTCACTTTTAATTTCCAATACTGTTAGTGTCACTAGATATAACCCATATCAACAAAAATTGCCTGGTCATTTTAAGAGCAAAAAGGGGTCTTAAGACCAGGAAGCTTGAGGCACTGTCATAGAGTATTGCTCAGATAAAGTCAAGAGTAGAGCTAAGCCTAACCTGCGAGAACAAAGTTTTCTCCCCTCTGCCTAAAGGTATGTGGCTGAATTGATATACAGAAATACTTGCTCTAGAGACATAGAACTCTGACCCTATTTCTTCGTTCCTAACCACACCACGCTTTTCTGGTCAAAGTTACTATCAGACGCTAGACTATTGGCTTTGCCCAAGACCACCGCAGGGAAGTCCATGGGCGACCTCCCTCCACTGAAAAACGATTTTTGATTGTTAACAGCTAATGCAATCCAAAAGCTCATCTCTACCGGCCTGGCTCATCTAAACAGTGTAATAATTTCTCATACATCTGTGGTAAAAGACAAAAATACTTTTGTTTTTAGTGACTAACCCACCTAACTTATAAACCCATATTATCTTTTGCAGAAAGACCGTGGAGGAACTTGTGAATACCGGTGTGACGGCTCTGAATGACCAGTCGAAGAATATGAGCTACTTGATAAGGGAAAAAGAACATGAACTGAATGTCTACTGTAGCATGGCTCAGAGGCAGAAGCAGGAGGAGGTGCAGGAAGTGCTTCAAGAAGCAGAGAAAATACATCAGGCCTCGCTCGGAACTGTGATGGATAAATTGGTCAACACTCAGGGGGAGCTGCTGTCCATAGCGAAGCAACTGGGAATCATGACAAACTGGAAAGATTTCCTGGAGGAGGAATTACAGGAAACGAGGGTGGCATTTCAAAAGTACATCAATTATACATTTCCTAAGCTTTCTCCAGGACAGGCAGATTTTATTCTGCCAGAAAGAAAGAAAACACCTTCCAATCTTATTGCTCCGGCGGACAAAGCAACTCTTGATTAGAAGTCTTCAACTGAAATTTCACTACAAAAGACATCATTCCAAAGACTAAATAAATTCACTCAAAAACCATTTATTGATCCCTGGTTGTGTGCAGGGTACTATTGGGCTGCGAGCATTTTGATGGAAAAGCAAAATATTCAAAAGCATATTCCAGGCTACAGTGAGTTCCAAGACTAATTGAGGAGAGGTAACAGAAAGCTGAAAACTGATTAGGAGGGAAAAACTTTCTTGGAAGAAGTCTAAACAAACTTTTGTACCTGGCTTTACTCACGTTTACATCAGACATGGAACTGTTTTAGTGTTTGTAGGAGCTGAAAACAAGCAAAGGGGTGTGTTCTTAGCTTGTTCCCATCGTGGAGAGGTGTACTAACTTCCAGTGTTATTTGGAGAACCTCAATAGCATTGTAGGAAAAAAAGCAATTTCCCCCAAATTCAATAAGATAAAATTTAACTTCTGGCAACCCTATATAAAATAATTCAAAAAGGATTCACTTTTATTTGCTAGTTGTGAAAGAAAAATATGTCTTTAGAGGTCAGACTCCCTGGCTCAGGGCTGAGGAGTCCCCTGTGTTTACACCCAAGCCCAGAAGTGCCTTGAACCCATGTCCTTTGGGTCAAAATGCAGAAATCTATTAGGTACCCCAATGCTTAGGAACAACACATATCCACATCTACTAAATGAAAATGGAAGAAAACTCAAGCCATAAAGACGTCTCCAAAAATCTATCCACTCTAATGTAACATCCTTAACTTATTAATAACCAACCTATATTGAAGGCTTTAAAATTAAAAAGTTGGTTTTCAGTAAATTAAAAAGTGCTCTTCTTGAGCGAGCCTTAGGTGGATCTGTCTACATTACCCGGTCTGGGATTTCCTCATGGCCAGAGTGGCAATTTGTTGATGGTTGCATAACGGACCACACTGTCCTCAGCGTTCAGCTTCCTGACGCTGCAGGCCTCTTGCAATCCATGCCAACTGTTCGCCTCGGCGCTGGAAGTAATGGCATGTATAGACGCTGCTTTGTCACGTACATTCTTCTCACAACAATCTGTGGTGGGGGGGGGCAGGAGTTGTCATCCGGTTATTACAGGTGATAAAATAAAAGTTGCTATGTACTAGGTATTTACACGTGTGAAGCACTTTAAAAACATTAATATTTAATCCTCACAACAACTTTTGAAAGTAATTATTATGACCCCCAATTTATAGGGAAGGAAACCAAGTCTCCAGGAGGTTCAATAACTCCCCACAGCACACAGCTGGTGACAGAGCCAGATTTCGAAGTACTACAAGACACAGGCAAATGGATCCACGAGAGAGACCTAAGGTTTTCCAGAATTGAGTAGGAAACAGCAGCAGCTAACACGGGAGTGCCGGCCTGTGCCGGGCACATGTACACAGTGGACTCATTCATTCTCACAGCAGTTTGTGAGGGGAAGAGCCATTCACACAGGCACAGACAGCTTAAGTCACTTTCTCCAAGTCATACAGCTAAAAGGGTCAGAGCCGGTTCAAATCCAGAAAGCATCAGTCTTCAGCCCATGCTTTAGTCATTATTTTGTTCAGCCTGAACGTAAGGTCTTGGTGCCTGGCTTATTGATTCTGCAAGTGTGTGTCTTCATGGGTTCTGTGATGAGGACTGGAAGAACATGGTCTGTCCTCCATGTCGTGTGTCATTTTTGTCTCTTCGAGAAGTAAAAGGAAGTTGTACCTAGGAATGCTAATCTGAGCACATACCATAGGGGAACAAAAGGAAACCATCTTCATGGCTGGCCCAGTGGTGTAGTGGTTAAGTTCATGCACTCTGCTTTGGTGGCCCAGGGTTTGCAGGCCCAGATCCTGGGCACCAACACTGCTCATCAAGCCATGCTGTGGTGGTGTCCCACATACAAGATAGAGGAAGATTGGCACAGATGTTAGTTCAGGGCCAATCTTCCTCACCAAAAAGAAATAATAATAATAAGGAAACTGCCTTCTGAAGGGGTTCATTTCATGGCCACAGTTAAGCGCGTCTCCTTTGGCATCAGTGATACGGGGAGTAACATGAAAACATAGCAGGCAGCTTATTTTTAGTTTGGAAAAAGGAATCCATCTTCTCAGTCTTCAACCAATTGGAAGATATTAAATTATCCATGTTGTCAGTATTTCAGTTCACATTCCAGCCCCGGCTTGCACCCCTATCCCAACCAATAGTTCCCTTAGGGTTAAGTAATTTGGGTACATCTGAGAAGGGAAGAGTTAGAAATCTTATTGCTATCCTGATCCCACCTTGACTCCCCAGGAGGGCCCACTGCCCACTGGAAGACTCCCCATCCATGCCCCCAAAGTGCTAATCACCCCTCATGTCACAGGGTGATGACGGGTTCCTATCTGCACAGGCTGACTGATCCCAGACCCCCATTTGCCACTTACCTTATAGCCTGGAGTCAGTACAAGCGTGGAGGAGGGTCTGCTTTCAGTTCTCTTGTTCTCACCCAGCTTTCTCTCTCCCAAGGCCAAACTGAAGAAACATCATCTTTGTTCTTACCTGAATCCTTCACCTTGATTTGATCGTGTCAGCCCACAGTTCTTCCTAGCTTGAATGTCTCCTAGGTAATATATCCCTGAGAATTAAAGTTCAAAGCGAATGGATAATTTGCCCTAAAGAGTGGAAAAAGCTGATAAGAGACTAAAAATGAGACCTCTCTTGAATTTCCAGTACCCCATTCTATGGGGCCTCCCAGCAGTCTCTTGTTTTCACGGCACTGATAAAGATGATCCTGATGGCTAAAAAAAGAAGCAATGGAAAATGTAGCAATAGCCGTTTATTGAGCATCTGCTACAGGTCAGATATTGCACTAGGTTCCTTAGTAAACCTTGTCTTCTTGAAATCTCACAGTAATCCTATAAGACACCTGCCATTGCCTGCATTTTGGAAATGAGGAAACTGAGACTCAGAGAAGTAAAGTCACTTGCTGAAGATCACAAAATTATTTGACTGAGAAGCCTGTGTGTTTTCCACAACTACAGCACATCAGCCAAAATGAGTGCCTATGGAAACATTGAGTGGGTGTCAAGGATGCACTACTTTCCAAATACATTGGAATTGTAGTGTGGCAATTCTGCAGAAGCCTAACTCTTCCAGTGGACGTTCATTCCCCAAACAAACCAATTTTTAACATGACTTGAGAACACTTAATAACTCTCCTGGTGCCATTTACTTTTAGTACAATACCTAAAGAAACCATTATAGACCGTAGATACTAAGCCCTATGCAAGTTATTAAAATTGTAAACATTTTGGAGAATTACTTTAAAGAGAACTTAAAGAGTGCATTTTTCTTAGTTGTCTTAGATGCTACCTATACACTGGGAGTGCATGCACTTCCCGTGGTTTCTGATGTTTAGAAAGCTGTTAATTTCTGGAGGCCATCTGGAAACTTAACTTGAGGACTCCAAGAAATTACTTCAGTTTAATTTTCTGGAAGACATTCTACCAAGAAAAGAACCTTGCTTTTAGAGAAAACAGACCTTTGGGATGGGAAACAGATTCATGGTACTCTGGGAGGGAGGGAGGGGCTCCCCACCCACAGAAAGCACAGGGGTCAGGCTATTCGGTACTCTATATTACAAAGTCACCCTGGGGTTTTCTTTCGCTGACTTTGATTCCATTTGACTTATTTAAAGCTTGCGTATTCTAGCTTTGAGGGCCTCATTTCCATTGAAACCATGCAGACACTATTTGGCAAAACTTAGGTTCATTTACAGATCAGAGGATTTTGACGTTCTGCTGCCTCTAATAAACTCTTCTTTCTGCTTGGCTGAGATCACTCAGAAAAGGAAAGAAGAAACCACTGCGACTTCTTGTCCAGTTTTCGTAAGCCAGGCAGTGTGTGTGCTTCACCTGCATTATTCAACTTCTGCCTCACAGCAGCCAGAAAAGGACATTCAGGCATTTCGAGGGTAGGTATTCTGCATGAGGTCACTCCATTTGAAAGATGCAGACGCCTTCAACTCATTGCTATCCGATTGCAAATTGTAGGATTGAAAGTAAGTGGTTTTACTCTAGTTAGTTCCAAATATAAACACTTTAATATTGAGTTGAATGAAGTTAAAATTATCCCTTTATACACAATAACTTCACATTAGGTCTTAAAATTTTCAAGGATCCAAGTCTATCTGTCTGCCTTTCCTTATTTTTAACCCTATGTGACATTTCCTATTTCTCACAGCACTTTTTCCACCTTACCTGCTTTAGCTGTCTATTTCCTACTGGACTTTAAGACCATGATGGACTCTCTGCTAAGGACCCATAACAAACTCCAGGGCCAGGTAGTATCCTTGACCTATCACTCTATGCTGGACAAGTATTTCTCATCCCCTCGCTCCCAACTCAGTGTTCCCAAGGAGGGCTATTGGTGTCATTTGCCCGTTTGAAGGAATATCATTTAATTATGTTGTAGAATTATCTATAGAGTTGTAGATTTCATTTAGATATCTACATATCTCTAGAATGTCTACCATCTATTCTAGAGCATCTACCTCTCTAGAAATCATAGAGATGTATAGGATATTAATTATTGATTTTGTTTATTCAACATGCATCAGGAAGCAACCTACTATGTATCAGGTGCTGTGTTAGATGCTTGGGGTCTTGGTAAGTGAAATAGGTGGTAGTCCTTACTCTTAGAGAAGACAGCTATGTGGATAGCAAGGTAGTGAGTACATGTGTCATAATACTGTCGAGGGCTGGAGAAGTAAGAATAATGGGCTTGCAGCTCCATTTCCCAATTCATGTTTTGCTGTCCTGAAGGGTGTCAACGTTTACCATCAGTAACCTCCTAGTCTAACTGATATTCTTGCATAGCGCTAAGTCTTGTCCACATTAGTGAAGGAGTGGCTTGATTCAAATTTTGTTTTCAGCAAAGTGGATTCTATAAAATCTCAAGGATAAATTTTCCTAGTTCTCACATGGTTTTGTTCTCCTCAAAGTTGTCACGTGGCCAAGAGCAGACAGTTATTTCTCCTATTGGTTCAGGTCAACAGATTCCTACCTGAAAAAATACTATCTCGGAGTTCTTTGGAATACAA